CGGGCGAAGACCAACGCGGACGGAGCAGAGCATTTGCCGAGTAAGTGATGTGGTATACCATCATTGGCCAACCGCCCCAAAGGAAGACAACGGTCGGTGGAGTGGACTTGGTTTTTTCACCGCAGTCAACGAGACAAGCGGGCAGTTGGTAGCCTGGCCTGAGACCAGAGATACGTTGGCTCAATTCCCTGACGCGGGACTGACCCCGTTCGTCGGGGCGCCCATGATCAGGGAATTTGGCATGGACTACCTGGCAACGGTAACCATCGCATCCTACGTTGTGTTTCTTCCATCTAGAAACGCCCCGTTCGCCTTCGGCAGCGCCCCGATCGCAAACATAGTATGCCGAAGAATTGTGGGAGGCCTGCTCGGTCCGAACGTCCACGCGGCGTTGCAGTGCATCATCAGGACTCGCATCAGGTACGACAGAACGTAGCCGCAAGGCTTGCCAAGAGTATCCCCCCCCTGCAGGCCCGCCAGGTAGCGGCCCGAAGTGCGCTGATCGCTGCGGCAACGACGTCCAGCCCGGCGCTTTCTTCCGCGAGTCCGCCAATGCCCTTCTAAGCACGGGGGGCATCATTGGCAGCGGCCATGTTCGCGAAACGCGAACTTCCTTGAGACCCCCATGGCACCCAAACGTGGAGACGGCCGCCCATCGACAATCAAGAGGGTGATAACGAACAAGAGGACACCACGGTCACACACGAGTGGTACCAGGAGCTCATAGATACCAAACACCCGTACGTGGAACCATGTACCCTACGCAGTCCCTCTCGTCGATTCCCGCCCCAGTTGCGCCTGTAAAAGCTGTGCTTGTGTCGTGCGAGCGTGCAGGGCCCATTTGCAAGCAGGACATCACATATTTACGCGAGCATGAACAAAGTGACGCCCCGCGTTCCTACCAGTTTTCCTGGTGCCTCGGCGATGGCTACTCAAGTGTTGCACTTTGATGATACTGACGACCACGATGACCTTGACTCCGTCGAGCACGGTAGGATTGCTTGACCGTGCTACATCGGTAAGATGTCAAAAATCATACATGACGAACACCGATTAGAAGCCAGTCTCCCCTACGAGTTGGCTACTTGTGAAATCCGCAACCCAGATCGTGGAGCGCTGGCGCGGCCTTCTAAGCCTCTCGAGAGAACTCTGGAAGCTCGCGGAAAGAGCTCCCGGGGGAGCTTCTGGACAGCTTCAGAGCGCACGCGCTGGGGCTTGCCGGAAGCCGAAACGAGCACCGCGGCTTCCCTGGTGGTGCCAGCTCGTAATTGTAAAGCCATCTTAGCTCTCAGGAAGCCAGCTGGAAATTATTCGCGCCTGCGTCTCCGCCGACCTGATTTGCAGGCAGGACATCGCCAACAACCCTAACAGACATCAACGGCACGCTCGGTTAACTCCGGGATCCCGTTGGACAACCGATGCGTCACCAAGGGGGCCAAGACCCAGAATTGCATGCCCTCAGGGTGCGCATGCATGTGGCAGTTCGCGAAGACATGTTCAGGGCGAGTGAAAATGTTTCGACGTCGCCGCGCATCGCGCGGTATCATGGGCCGAGGGGTTTTCTCCGTCAAGACATGTTCTGGACTGGCGCGACGCACGTCCCGGCGCTCTTTGGCAGGCCAGACTGCACGTCACCGCGGTTGGATTTTGGCCAGCGTCGACGCAGAGAAACCATCCTCAAAGCCCGCGCACATAACTGGCCGAAGGCGCGGGTCAGCAGGAGCTCACTACTGGTTTCTTTATATTTAATGGCAGCGCCTCTGCCCTTCGTGCTTTGCCCTGTCTCAACTGCCGCGACGAGTCGCTGCGCTGTCTAAAAAATCTCGGGCCCAGCACCTGCGGCAAATATGCGTCGGGAGCTCTCTTACTTCAAGCTCGAAAAGACTACGGGCAGCATCTGCTTCGAATCCATTTTTCACGATTAGGATTTGCCGCCAACCTGGGCTTTCTCACCGCCGAGCACGCCGGCGACGTCGAAGCGCGCGGCAATGAGTCCAACGTGGTCGCCCACATTCAACAGTTCGGTCTGGTAATATGTTAATACCTTACCTACGCGGATAGCGCAGCGGGGCGCGCCACGACGGGCAAGAGAGATTCTGTTGTTGAGCAGGGCGAGTACGTCAAGCCGCTTCGCCCATAGCATATGCGGGCATTCTAGGCGCCGCCCCAGAAGCAATGGCAAGTTGCATAGTCAGCGACCTGCTTGTTAGCTTACGGGGAGCCTTGGCATATTCCACACTGGCCCAATTCTGGACAATGTTGTGTATATGTACTGATTGCTTGCAGCGCACCCAGGAATCGACGAAGACACAGGCGACGCGACCGAATGCCCACGCGCGCAACTTGTTGCACTTGTTGCAGGGGGGGCAAGAATATGATCGACCTGGCCATGGCCCGTGGCGGCACCGGAGACCTGCGCAGCAATTCTGTCTATCGGAAGTTCACCGGCCGACAGGGCGACGATTGAGACCCTTGGCCGCGGCCGTCGTGGATGCAGTTTGATGCGTCGTGGACGCACGAGCATGACATAAGATCGCGCACCGCGGTCTCTGAAAATCAAATCGTCTCCAAGTCAGGGCCAGCTACGCGGCCGCAGCATCTTGCCGCCGCTCACAGTCTGGGCGGATGTTGCTTTATTTTCGTCACAATACATGAGCCCGCCAAAGGGCCCCCAGCCCCATGCGGTGGGCTTTGCATTCAAATGCCCCTCGCGACTCTCGACTGACGCCGGATCACCACGCGAGGCACTTTAGGGGGAAACGTCGCTGGGACATGCCAGCCGAATCAGAGAATTCTTCTGCCTCGGCACCCATACGAATCATTCGCAGCGGTGCGACGCCCGCGTCGCGACGGCGGATGGCCACGCCCAGGGCACTAATCGGCTGCGACCTGCTCGCGCAGCCCATGGTCAGCTACCAGAGCTACGCGCGCGAGGTCAAGTTGCGCCCGCCGCGTTGAGGAACTGAGCCCCCATCGCCGACATATCATTGTTTTTTTTCTGCTCGCGCGCGTTAGCGGGCCCCGGAAGTCCAGAGGGACATTCAGCAGCAGCCGTTCTGCGCAAAAAGAGGGGGTTCCTCTTGTTGGCTCCGCGCAGAGCAACCGCGGGCCCGTGACTGCCCAGAAGCGAGCGCGTTCCAGCGCTCTTGTCCGCACTTTGCTGTCGGGGAATCGCAACCGCACTCATTGCGCCCAGTTGTCGCGGAGTCGCGACCTCGCATAATCTTTTCTGCGCCTGGGCTGCCAGGGTGGCCCCCAGGTCTGTGCTGCCCCCCTGTTCCCTGTCCCCCCTCTTCTCCTGGGCCCGGAGGCCGCGTGCTGGCGCGAAGCTGCCGGTGCAGTCTTTTCTCCTCCGGAGGCCGCGAGCTGGCGCGAAGTGTCCTGCCGCGCGCCCCAGCAGGCGCTGCCGTTGCCGTCCCTTCTCCTCCTCCCTCCTCCTCCCCCCCTGTGTGCCGGGTCCTTTGTACGGAAATCCGTCGGTACAAATGTGCACCCTTTTTCTTTTCAGGCCGTCGCGTGTCTGCGCGCCGGAGAGACGGGCCGCACACCTGCGTCTGTCCAGTTTCTTTTGTTTTCTCCCCCCTCCTCCTCCTCGTCCTCCTCCTCCTCCTTTCCCCCCTCCTCCTCTGTTCCCTCCCGCGTGCCTGGTCCGAGGCATCGAAGCACGCAGCGTGCCGCGCGCCGCGTGGGCGGGCCGCGGCTACTGGCGCGCGGATTCTTCCTCCGTGCCCTGTGGCTGTTCTGCGGCCTCCGGGCTCTCATGAGCCGACGTCCCCCTCTCGTCGTTCCTCTTCGTGTCCCTCGTCTTTCTCGCCTTTCCTGGCCTCGTGGCCGGTCCGCTTGTCGTCCTCGTCGTCGTCGTCTCGTTTCCTCCTCCCCACGTTCTCGCCGACTTGCCTTGGTTGTGCCGGCCTCGGTGCGACGCTGTAGCATCGAGGGGTCCCTTTCCCATCAATTGGGAAGTTGGCGATTTCTTGTTTCAAGTGCGCATGGCCCACACAGCTCGGACACACCCATCAGCAGCTAGGCTGTGCTGCCCAAGCTGCATTATGCAGCTTGTCTCTGCCCGTCGCACTCTGGTTCCAGTCTGCCGGCTTCGTGGAAGCATGACTGAGTTCCACGCGCCTTGTTTTTGTTACGCACTGCCTCGTATGTCGAAGCTTTCGACTACCGCTCTCTCTCGCTATCGCAAGCGCCTCTTTCAGCCTGTGTAGCGAGGTGGTAACGGTCGAAATTTGCGCCGCCCCCCCCCCGGCTTTGACGCAATGCCTTGAGAAAGGCATTTGAATGATGCGTTGTTCGTCCGCCGCCGCCTTTGCTTCAAGCGGCCCCGCCCTATCTGCCTACGTGGCTGGCTCCGCCTGCCGCGCGCGATTTGCAACGGTCTAGGAGGACAAAAGGTTTTTGTCTTGTCCGTGCCGCCATCGGTGCCACCGTACCCCATTCCCACTTACACCTCATACAACATGCGATGGCAAGCGCCCTTCGGATTATCCAGCCAGGCACGTCGCGCGCTTCGCATCGAAACAGAAAAGGCTCGTGGGGGCGCCAGCGCGAACTCGAGGGGGGGCGGTCGGGGCTCAAGAGACGGGGGTCACTGCAAACAGTGGTCGGCCAGGGCATTGGATCCTGCGGGATCCTGCGAAGACCCCCTCCGGCTAACCCGGGTTCGTGAGCCGCTCGTGGCCGCGAGGCGGTTGCGCATATTGGTACCCGGGTTTGCAAAGCCTTGCGTTGCGTTGTTTTTTCTGCATTGCACTTGTTGGGTTTCCTGCTGACCCGGGTTTGGATTGACCCGGGTTAGCAGACCCCCGAGGCGGGCGGGGCATTTCGAATTTCGATCATAGATTGTGTAGATTTCGAAGGGGACAACAGCCCAAGTCACCCCTGGGGGCGCGAAGGAAATTCTCGCATCGCGGGGCGCCCAAAAGACGACGAATTGGCGAGGAGAACGGCGCGCAGCCCAAACTGGAGCGGTGCGCGCCCGCCCGCCCGGCGAGGCGCTCGAGCCCGGCCTCGCAGCGCTCCTCGGCGCCGCGGCACCTGCCGCCCGAGAGGGGGGGTGTCGTCGATTACGTGCCATGCCTCATCCACCCCACCCGGTAGCCCCAGAGCACCCACAAGTCAGTTTGGGATTGGAAGGCCATGTCTAGTTACCTGATTCTGGAAAACCAATATTTGGTGCCTATCCTGTGCCTAATACCGCTTCCACGTGCTAGCCACACATTGCTGTAGACACATTGTTTGTCGTTGTGTGCATAGACACACTCGGGGTGGATACGTCCATAGGCAACGCCGCCGTGGCGTTCGGCGCAGTACAGAGTCGGAGAAAGGGTACACTCGTTTACGGCATGCTGCTGTTCAAGACCAGGTGCCACATGGTCAAGCTAGGTGTGCGCGCATACGGGTCCCATGGTGTAGTCAATGTTCCGGGACGTCCCTCCATTGGAGATTGATACCTCACGGCGTTTTCGGGTTGGGTGGGTGTGGTTTGGTACGTAGTCAGCCGTGCAAGGAAGCGCAACCGTAGAGCAGGGCAAGAGGTTCCGCGTGATCGGCACCACAGCCTTCGAGAGTTTCGGGGAACAAGAATCGGCACAGGCATACTTTCTCGGCGGTCCGTGCGGATTTCTGGTGTGTGTGTGTGCTGGCCACCCATGCCCGCGCCAGCCGCCCTTGGCGCGCGTTGTATGCCAGGGAGGGGGGCCCAGCGCTGACCCCCAAAATCTGCCCGGACTTCCGAGATATTATATGGATGCAGTTTGGGGGTTCTCTAGGTTCGAGGTTTGCGAGCATGTTCGTCAGTTCTCGGAGGCTGTCCAGCCTCGGGGTGATCGCCAGCGGCTGCGCCTCGCCGAGGGCGTTCTGAGGGTGGCCAGCTGGCCCGGACGGCCACGGGAGGCCCGATGACCCGAACACCCACCAGGCGTCACCTCTCCAGAGCAAATCCGTGGAGAAACAAACATGGATGGAGGCGTGCCGACTAGCGAGGATTAGCGAGGGGTCCCGTTTCCGTACAGAATCGGCGCGCTGCGTTGCCAGATTAGGCAGCATTGGCTTCATGTTTCGCGGAGTACCTTCCCCGATCCGTGGCTTGGCGCTCCACTCGCCAGATTCACAGATCCGTAATTCGTATTAGCGCCCGTCCGAGTCGGTGACTCCAGTTGTCCGACGATCCGATTGTTTCCGTCCAGGCGGTGTTGGCGTTTCCTGGGGCGCCATCGTCGCGACGCCTGGGTGTCCCGAGAGCGTTCTGACGTGGCCGCGTTCGGTCCCCAGGACACCAATCCGTTTTTCCTGTGGGAAAGACGCACGTTTGAGGGTAAATCCCTGAGCCTGAAGCGCAGGGATCCTCGCTTGCAAGATCGCGGGCCGCGGACTGGACCACTTGCACCGTCGGATGTCGGGGGCGGCAGCGGCGACGACCTGCGACGACGACGACGACGACAACCACGACGACGACAACCACGACGACGACGACTGACGATTGACGACGGACAACTGACGACTGACGACTGACCACTGAGGACGGCCGACGAGGGAGCGACGACCGATTGAAGGGGGTTAGCGGGGAGTTGGGCACGCGACCCCATCGGCGTGAGCATCGAGGGAGAAGCCCGAGGGCCTCGAGGAGCGGAAAGAAACAAGTCCTAAGGACAACCCTTCTGGAGGGCCGCGCTGATTTCCTGGGTCGGCGTGGGACCCCCCCTGGCGGCGCCCCCCGGGGGTGGGTCCAGCGCCGACCCAAGACATCCGCGCAGACCTCCGAAATGATGTGTATGTTCATGCAGGTTGTTGCTCTAGGTGCGATGGCCGAAGGGTGGTGGTTCTTATACGTTTCTCCTTCCCTTTTGGGGCCTCAGGGATGGCTTTCGTGACCACGGCCGGATCCGCCTCGCAATCCCTGTCAGACTACAACACAGGACAGGTCAGAGGGACGGTTCTTGACAGGAGGGCGAATTGTAGGGATGAGGAGGAGCAGGATGAGGAGGAGGAGGAGGAGGAGGGGAGGAGGAGGATGGAAGAGGGAGGAGTCGGAGGCAGAGCGAGGGTGAGGGTGCGCAGAAGGGTGGGGCAGGAAGCGGAACATGCGGGGAGGAGAGGAAGGAGGAAGGATGAGGGATGAGGGATGCGGAGTACATGGATGATGGATATGCGGAGGTTGATGAGGAGAAGGGAGATCAGGAGAAGCACGTGGCTTCACCAGCTGTTTCTGACAAGGATGCGCGTGTGCGGGTTTCGAGTGGGTCGCGCGAGCCAACGTGAAGTTGATCAGGATCAATAAACCAAACGTTCAAGCAGATTTACCAGCGTAAACCCAAAACATTAGGTTCTGACACTCTCGATGTGCATTCCACCCATGTGGTGCAACGCCTGCGATGTAATCCCTATATCTACATATGAAAATGTCAGTCGTCAACTCCAATTCGCGTGCACACATCCCACCCTCCACTGGCAACAAGTTGACAACGGTCGTCTAGACATGATCTCAACGAGCGCACGGGCGCGTGGTTTTGAAGTGGTGATTACAAAGGTGACGTCTGCGACGCCTTTGACGATGGAGATGCCAGTGATGATGACGCCCATGCCGATGGTGATTGCAGTGGCGATGGAGACTGCACAATTTCAATGACAACAACTGATGGTGATTACGCTGATGGTGGTGATAAAGACATTGGCAACGATGGCGCTCGCGCTTTGGCTAGGATGGTATGGGTCCAAAGAAGATCCGGATTGGAGCTTCTCGATTTTCTGTGGCTGCGATGGCGCGCGCGCCCGCATGCGACGCGATCAGGCAGTTTAGAATTGATGCGGCCGCGATGGCAAGTACCGATGGGAGTTTCCCAGCGCGTTTCAGAGGCTGCGCTAGCACGCGGGCACTTCAATAGATCGGTGATTCGGGCGGGCGCGATACCATGATGACCCCGAAAGCGGCGGCAGCTGTGACGATATTAGCGGTGGTTGTGATTGTGACGATGAGGACGGCAAAGCCAATGACGGCCTCGATGTTGGTGTCGACGTTGGCGATAATGTTACCAATATACCCGTGATGAAGGTCAGTTCGATGATGGTTGCCGTAATGCCAGTGTTAATGATGACGATTCTGGCGGTTCGATGGCGCTGATCAGGGTGATGAGGAAGCGCGCGCGCAGAAGTAGGACACATTTTGCAGTTTCCGGTTGGATAAGTATATATATATATTGTTTGTTCATATGTATCGGAACAAGTCTATTTCAAAGAAAATATTTCGACACCAGGGGTGTAAACAAAAGTGTTCCGTCATGCGCGCGCGGCGTTGCGCGCATGTTTCCCGTATGGTGTTATGTGGTACGGGTTTTTGCACCTGGGCGCACGCAGTATCAACCTTGATGCACCGCGTGGCGAGATGAGAACGCGGGCTGTAGGCGAGATCGCCATCATCAGATGGTTTCCTCGTGATTCCGGCGAGTGCCCGCGGGCAGATTTTTTGCAAATTGCGTTTTGAAAGCAGAAGGTGTTCAAGGTTTGTTGTGCACGTCGAGTGTTTTGTATGAGATCGACGTGTTCGCACGTGTGGATTGTGTGTGTTCTGTTTTGTTAATTGGAGAACCCTTGTTACAGAATATGTTGAGATAGCCGAGTACGCGTGCAGAGTATTATTTGACAGGAGTGGGGGGTGGTCGCAATACTGGTTGTGCTGGGATGGTGTGAGTTCGAAGTGACATGAGCGATAAGTCATAATATCGTTCAAAGTTTAATACCCCAGAGTTGACTTTTCAGTCGGTTAGTAGAGATTTCTTTCACGGAAGATGAACATCTATTGGCACAGTTAGTTTTTAACATATTGGTGTGGTAAATTTCAATGTTGGGGCAAATATCCAACCCAATCGCAACTCGTTGGCAAATCGGGGGTTTCCTTGTCCAGCAGATCCATGAGTTGGCGTTGGTGAACATGTTGGTGATACTGATGGCGAGGACGGCTGCATTGGTGACGCTGGCAATTATGATGGTGGTTACCTGGTGGTTGTGTTGATGAGGTTTATGAGCACGTGCGCGTGATCAGAAGTCTGTCATCATTTTTTCAATCTAGTTATCATTCACACGTGTTCACACTCACACACACACACACATCGATATTGGATTGCGTCGACGGTTCGCGGAGACGCGCGCGTATGGTCCGCACGGCTCTTCTTTGGCGGAATAGGCACATGCGCGAGGATTGGCCCGCACGGTCTCAGTTGGTGATCTTTTCTTTATTCGTTTTTGTTGCCGATCGGCGCGGGCCCTCGCACCCCACCCCCCCATGGAGTAGGTCTTGGCTGTTTTTGGCGCCGGTTTCGAGCAGGAGGAGTTCCCCCACGGGGCACACTGTGGCAAACAGTCGCAGTAAGCAGAGGTCTGGAGCCAGACCCCCCCCCATTCCGCCCGATGTCGAAACGCCGAATGAAGAAAACGCTCACTTGACATAGCGGCACACCATTTATTTTCGTCGCCCTTTCTGTTGATTTCGGCCAGGGCAAGCGCTAGGATTTTTGTCATTTTTCTGCGGGAGAACAATGGTTTTTGATCGGGCTTGTTTTCTAATCCATGGCCACCAACGGTTCGAACATAATCCAACATGTGGTCGAGCGTGGCCGCATTTATTATTGATTGTTACGGACCTTTGTAATTTCCATTTGTTAGGTCAACGCGCGTGTTCCGCAAGGTGTTGTTTGACAAGGGTGACGGGGGGTCGATACCGGGCGGTGAGAGCATCTGGCAACCATCCCATCCACCCGCCCGGATTTTGTAGCAAAGTGCAACGGGCGCAGTGACGGAAGGATTTGTCTCATACGGATCCATGCTTCTGTCGGGCTAGTGATGCGACGGTAATGGCGATGGTAGTCGCATTGATGACGAGGTCGTTGGCCGATTTGATGCTAGTGACGACGGCGATGGTGATGATGACGACGGCGATGGTGATTGTGACGAACATGATGGTCACGATGATGACGATTGCAATGACATTCGTGGCAATGCCATGGCGATGATACTTATTCGGGTAAAGAGCATTTGCGCT